TGTCTCTTGCTCCTAATAGGAACTTCATTGTTCTCCTCCACAGGACTTTCAAAGTGTTCCATCGAAATTGTGGGTTCGGTAATTGTAACTGGTTCCTGATTCGATGAACTAGGCATCTCCTGATTAGATGAGGTAGCCATATCCTTCATGGGAAAGATATCTTCAAAGAAAGTCGCATCATTCGACTCCATGATCGTACCGACATGCATGTCCCTCAGATTTTACAACCAAGAATCTATAGCCAATGCTATGAAAAGCATGTCCCAGGAAAACACAATCCACAGTCTTTGGTCCAAGCTTCCGCTTCTTTGAAATTGGAGCATTGACTTTCGCCAAACAACCCCATGTTCGCAGATAAGAGAGTTTTAACCTTTTCTTCTACCATTCCTCGAATGGAGTTATCTCTTTGTTCTTTGTGGGGACTCGGTTCAGGACATGACATGTTGTCAATATCGCCTGCCCCCACCATGCCTTGGAGAGACCCGATGTATCTAACATGGCGTTAACTAAATCAGTTAGAGTATGGTTCTTTCTTTCGGCCACCCCATTTGACTGAGGTGAGTAGGGAGGAGTCCTCTCATGGATTATACCATGTTCCGCACAAAAAGCATCAAACTCATTGGAAAAATACTCTCCACCACGGTCGGACCTAAGCCTCTTGATTTTTCGATCAAGTTGGTTTCCCACTTCAGCTTTGTAGATCTTGAAAAAGTTCAAAGCCTCATCCTTAGATTTCAGAAGATACACACGGCAGTATCTAGTGGAGTCATCAATTAACGTCATGAAATATTTCTTTCCACCTTTTGTCAACACACCATTCATTTCACATAGATCTGAATGTATGAGCTCTAGTGGTGCAAGATTTCTTATTTCCGCAGTCGTGTGAGACTTACGAGGTTGCTTAGCTTGCACACACACTTGACACTTAGATCCCTTGACGGTGGTGAAACTAGGGATTAAGTTCAACTTCGCTAGTCGCGACATGCAACCAAAGTTAACATGACAAAGACGTGAATGCCACACATTGGATTCACTGTTGTTGCAAATATGATTAACAACTTTATTGCAAACGTCTGAGAAGGATAAACGAAACAAGCCTCCTGACTCATAGCCTTTACCAACAAAGGTTCCATACTTGGATATTACAAATTTATTCGACTCCTAGACAAGCTTGTAGCCATCTCTACATAGAAGAGATCCGCTAACAAGATTTTTATTGACGGAGGGGACATAATGCACGTTCTTCAGCCGCACGATCTTCCCCGAAGGAAACTTCAGATCGACCGTGCCAACACCGCGAACAGAAGCACTTGAACTGTTGCCCATTAGCACGGTTGAAGTCCCTGCGGTCTGATAAGACGAAAACATGGAAATATCACCGCATACATGCACATTAGCACCCGTGTCAATCAACCAGTCAGGAGAATGACATACTGAAAGAATAGTGGAAAATATACCATACCCAGCATCCTTCATCTCCAATGACAACATTAGCGGTCTTGCCGACTTTCCCAGGATGACGCTTGTCATAGCGATTAGGACAACTAGGAGCCCAATGATCAGGATCCCCACACACATGACAAGCACCTTTCTTCTTGCCATTCTTCTTCTTGAAGTTCGTGTGTTGCACAGCCTTGTTCTTCCATCAAACTTTGCTTCTCCATCAAACTTGCCCTTGTTCTTGAACTTGTGTGGCTGGAAGTTCTGCTTCTGTACCACATTGGCACTAGATCCTCCCTTAATACCTCGAGCACATGTGTGCTTTGCTCTCGCCTTTTCTTCCACATCAAGAGTGCCAATGAGATTCGGGATGGAAAACTCTTGCCTCTTATGCTTCAGCAAGGAAGCAAAGTTCCTCCATGAAGGAGGAAGCTTACTGATGATACCTCCAGCAACAAACTTGTCCGGTAGCATACAACTGAAGTGCTCAAGTTCTCTAGAAAATGACTGTATCTCATGAGCTTGCTCAACCACGGAGCACTCTTCAGTCATCCTGTAATCATAGAATTGCTCCATGATGTACAGCTCGGTGCCAGCATCCGAGACCCCAAACTTGGCCTCGAGTGCATCCCACATATCTTTTCCATTATCAATTGACGCATAAGCATCAACTATGTTCTCACCAAGAACACTCAAGAGAGCAGCCTTAAACAGAGTATCAATTATCTGAAAAGCTTGTGCTTGTTGAGCATCAAGCTCTCCTTCAGGTTTGCCGAGAGTGGTGTCATAGCAACTCAAGGTTTGAAACCATAAGACTGCTCTCACGCGCCACCTCTTATAGTGGATACCCTCAAACATAGGAGGTCTCATGGAAGCAGCAAAACCACTTGGGGTAAATTGCCTATAATAAGGTTTTTGGATTGTTGGAAATATGAGCAATTTACCAAATGATTTTATTAACGGAAATACTAGATAAAGCATGACTAATATAGAAGAGGTAAAAAAGTCATGCGTTCTGACAGAGAGAAGGTAAATAGCTTCTGCATATATGAACCGTAGCCTATCATATCTAAAGCAGAGAGTATAGCAAGTAGCATATATGAAGTAGAACCTAACATGTGTAGGAGAAGGACTAGAACAAGAAACTATGGCAGAACCTTTAACAGGAAAGACAAGAACACGTAAGGGACAGCAGCAGCAGAAGCGCTGGACTTGGGGTCGGTGTCCTCGCCTGCCATGTCGTCGAGGAAGTCGTGGACGTCGGGGAAGAAGTCGTCGGCGACCGGATTGTCCGTGATGAAGCAGCCAGTAGTCGCGCTGAGTGCTCCCCAAAAACCTTATCACCCTTCTCCCGTACAGGACTCAAAAGGTGCGGTTTCGGAGGCCTACTGTCCCGACCTGCGGTGCACACCGCAAGCCGGGATGGAGAAGATCGTAGCAGCAGCGCAGTGCTCAGGATGGTGAGAGGAAGGGGATCTTCTGGTGTGTCACTCTGGAGAGGAGCGACCTCCCTTTTATAGGCACAGGAGAAGGACGCGAAGAGGCGGCGGCGGGAGGGGAAGCAACGAAGGGAGACGAAGCGAACAGGCTGCGGCCGAAGAGGCGCACCATCGGCTCAGCTCATTCCCGCAACACGCGGCGCGGCGTGGCGAGGTGGGCGGCGGAGGAGGAGCGCGCGTGGATGTCCCTCTTGTTCTCATGTTCATACATGTGGGGAAAGAACCTCCCTTATAAAGAGGTCCAACTCCCTCTAAACTAGCAATGTGGGACTAAACTTTTGTTCCACCTCTTGCCTTGCACAAATGGGCTGCGTGGGCCTTTAGGATTTATTAGGAATTTCTGAAACTACTATTGGGCTAGGCCCAAAATAGACAAAATTCCAGCAGAAAATTACGCTGAAATTGCCATAAATTAGCCATAATGCCATCAATGAGTGAAGAAAACGATTCAATTTTTTTTCAAAGTTGTCGTCGTCGTATTCGTCTCTTATACAATGATACCCTTACATATATCAGAAGGACACGCGTAGCGCAATGGCTAGAGCCACTGTCTTTCACCCCGGAGACCCGGGTTTGATCCCAGGTACTACCCTTTTTCCCTCTACTTTTCTCTCTTCACAGCGAGCGTGCCTCCTCCACCCCGCACGCATTCATGGGTCGGGCCATGTTGCCCTTTTCTCTTTTCCTGTTTCTGTTTTTCCTTCTTCAAATTAATTCGGGATTTCCAAAAGTTATCAGTTTTAATTTTATTTGAGAAATTGTAAATGTTCATCAATTGATAAAATGTTCAGGAAATCATAAAATGTCCAGTCTTTTAAAAAACTGTTCGCACAATTTTTGCGAGATCATAAAGTTATCATGAATACAAAAAATGTTTGGAAAATCATAAAATGTCCAGTATTTTTTCTAAAAAATTGCATTTATTCAAAAATCATGATTTCGAAAAAATATCGCAAAAAAATACTCATGACATGGCCCTTTTTTTCTTGTTTTTGTTTTTCCTTCTTCAAATTAATTCGGGATTTCCAAAAGTTGTCAGTTTTGGATTTTATTGGAGAAATCGTAAAATGATCATGAATTCATGAAATGTTTAGGAAGTCATAACATGTCCAGTATTTAAAAAAACTATTCACTTTGTTTTTTCAAAATCATAAAATTTTCATGAACTCAAAAAAAGTTTGGAAAATTATAAAATGTCCAGTATTTTGAAAAAATGTTTGCATTTATAAAAAAATCATGATTTCGAAAAAATGTTCGCCAAAAATACTCATGATTTAAGAAAAAATGATCATGTATTCAAAACATATTTGGCAATTTGAAAAAAATGTAATTTTTACAAAATGTTCGAAAAAAATTAAGCAGGTCCGTAAATAACGAACAGAACTAACCTGCTTATATAGAGGTTTTTTTAATATGTAGAGGTTGTTTTATGATTTTATTTAGTACAGGCGAGTCGCGTAAAAAAAGGTTTCCATATTCTGCACAACGTTGAACCCAAAAAAATTGACAAAACTTTCTACGGATTAGCTTTTGTAAGCTGTATGAAAATGATTAAATATCTAATTTGCCTCCATACTATTCTGGTACTATAGTTTTACTAGTCAGGGTAAACACCGTGACCCTAGGTGAAGGGAGAGACACATCATTCATTAGTCTAGCTCAGGTGGAGTCAATCAATACAGTTTTCTCAGCCAGAAAATATTTTGTTGTGGTGCCTTAGGAAATCAAGTCGTGATGAGACCATCACATTTTTAGCCTTTGAAATGACTTTTTAGAAGTTCCTTATCTCATCATGACATGATTCAGACGCAGTTTATGAAATCGCAATTTAAAGGTCCCAATCTCATCTTGTCATATGTTTCAGACTTTTTATCTCTACCACATATGCATAATCTTATTGTTTTTCCCCCGTTGCAACGCATGAGCATATTTTCTGGTAGGACCAAAAAATGACATATGAACACACATAATTTAGAAAATTTGAGGAGAAGGCTTTATTAGTTTCACAAATGTTCTCATACAAAGTTCTTAACATAAAGTTTTCTGGCACAGCCTCACGAATTACAGATCTGAAAGGAAAGTTATTGTTAGGCCAGGTACATGGAATGTAAAAGCCAACACTTCTCCTCCCACAGCTAAACTAGAGTGACTACGCCAGAGGAGGGAATGTGTAACCTGCAAGACCATTCAATTTGACCCAACATATAATTAGAATAGCACAAGAAGCATATAAAAATGCATAACTAAAATCTAAATCGTGTGAATCCAAAGAATAACAAATATCAAAACTGCATGTATGCAATGCCGATCATCGTAATTCCCTTAATCTATTTCACTTACTTCCGCACTTGTAGCCATGTGGGAACGGCTTCTTGCAGAAATTGGCAACGTAGCCAACCTTCTCCATACAATATATCTTCTCTTTCTCCTTGGTGACACCAGCGCAAAGGCATGGGATGTTTGCCTTTTGCCACACGGCGCAACATGCATCCGATGGATCTAGCTTCGGATTTGCTGGCCATTGTTGATACTTAGCACACTCCTTGATCATTGCCTGTCGGTCACCCTCGCATTCGTCAGCCGACATGGCTACCCCAATAGCGAGGATGATGAAACATAAGAACATGAGTTTTGCCATGACTATGGCTTTTGTATCTGCTACACTAGAGCCTTCTCTATCCCTTTGATGTTATAATTGTTTGTGTGGCTTCTCTGTGAATGTGTGGGATACATGACTTCGTTAGCTATGGCTTGGTTTATATAGCCTTGTTTGAGATGATGATATGGGCACATGCATCAGTTCTATATCTTGAAGTTATGGCACCATGTCAACCAATTAATATGTACATGAATTGCACTCTAGAGGCTACATCATACATTAGTTCTATATCTTGAAGATACGATATTGTATCAAATAATGACTGTTCACATTAACTCTATATCTACATGCTATACCTTGAAGATACGAAATAGCATCGAACAATGAATGTGTATATTAACTCCACATCGACACATTATACATACATTAGTTGTACTATATATGATATATCTTGAAGATATGGTACTGCATAAAAAATGAATATATCCATTAGTTGCACATCTACATGCTATAATACTACAGTAATTATATATATCTTGAAGATAGAAAGATATGGTACTGCACCGAAAAATGACGTGTGCATTAATTACACATCTACATGCTACAACATTACATTAATTATATATATCTTGAAGGTATGGTATTGCATCAAAAAAATGAATTGTATATTAATTACACATCTACATGCTATAACATTACAATCATAATAACAGCTTTGCTATTTCACATCTAGATGTGAAATAACTACTTCACATCTAAGTCTAGAGCCGTTGGATCTCGTCTATCTTCAAGATTCGCGCAAACCTATTTTTGTCCCATTGGTGCATTCGCACGCGACTGTTGTGTGTTGCGCGGCCCGTTTTCAGGTTGATGCTAGTAGCGGGCCGGGGTGTTTGTCACGATAGTTGGGCTGGTAGGCCGTTTGTCTCTCTCAGAGTAATTTTCTCCCTCGCATTCATTTTGCCCATTTCCCATTCCTCTTCGGCCTCCTCCAGGGGCTCTGGAGAACGAGAAGGGAGAGAGACGCCATTGGAGTAAGTTTTTTGCCCTGTTCTTATTTTTTTTCTTCCTCTTTGTTTTTGTCCTGTTATTGTTTCTTGCTCATAGATTGAGCACCATCCCCTCTTCTTTGTTTGTGCATTCATCAATCTAGGGTTTGTCCCGCAATCGACCCAAATGTGGGTAGGGTTCCTCACATATTAGTACCGTCCCTATTTTGTTGTGTATCCATCTATCTAGGATTTGTTCATCAATATATCCAAATGTTGGGAGGGGGGGTTCCAGTCGGTCAAGATTCAGCGGGTCGCTGGGTAGTGCCCAGAGATTCAGTCTATGCCCTTTTTTAGTTCAGGTGATTTAGTGTCAAGGTTGATTTTAGATTTTAGTCTAGATCCATGTTGTTCCATTTTTTCATGTAAGTATAATGTTTGTTAAGGTTTGTCCAGTATCATAACTTTATACATGTGTTCTTTTTTCTGATTTGCCTTAGTGAACATTCGGATCACTTCCGTCGGGATAAAATCAACTTTGCTAACAGTCTACAACAACTTTCCTTTTTTAAAAGATAAGAGACGAACATAAACAAAGAAGCACCGCACAAATGAATCAACTTATACATACCTCGTTTTATTTGTTTTTTTCATGTACCTAGGGTTTGTTCCCAATCCACTCGGATGGAGGGAGCAAGGGGATTTTAAGTAGTCAAGATTCAATGGGTGGCCGGATAGCTTGTGTGTGTAGGGAATTCAGTGGATTCATAGGATTTTTATTTTCAGCAGGAGTAGATTTTCATTTAGTGTTTTTGCTAGATTCAGTGGGGGTTGGTTCATTTTCTAGTTTTTCTAGTTCATGTTTTTTGTCTGGTAGGTAGGAAATGAGGTTTAACCCTGGAGTTTGGTTTGATTACGTGTAGGGTTTGATAGATAAGTAATTTTTTTATCAGAGCTAGTTTCAATTTGTATCAATCAAGGTTCATTTTATTTCATTCTAGATCTATGTTTTGTCACATTTATTTCATGTCAGTATATCTCTGTTAATGTTTGCCTAGTAAATCATAGCTTATGCATTGTGCTTCTTGATTTATTTGTATATTTATTGATTGAACGACCATTCAGATGAGATATGTTAGGTTATGGGTGAGGACTAATGCCGTGCGATGTTTTTTGTTTGTACCTTGCATTAGCCTCTAATTTTTTATTTTGCTCAATGATAGCAACTAGTATCATGTTTTGAATACTATATTTTTATGAGTGCGCGATCAATGTAGTTTTTGTATGCTTTTTTATGGGCTAAACCATAGGTACTATATGTGTCGTTGCCTGAACTATGTATGTTGCCATATGCAAAGTATGACTACAAAATGACATACTATGCAGTTTACTAGTTTGCATGTCTCATGTACCAGTTACTAGTTATATATCATTTTATTTGTCCAGATTCTTATTTTTGGTTTTTGGACAAAGATGGTGTGTACAGTAGGACCCCGATAAGGTTTGTTTGAACATTTGTATCCACACATCTCAAGGTAGGAAGCAGTATTCTTAATGCTATGTGACCCCCATGTCTAATTTTATTTATTCATTATTGTTCAGAAAATGATGAACTACCTTGTTTGGGATTATGAACATTTGTTCTTTTTCTTTTTTGCAGCTTTATGAGCTGGTGAGAATGTGTTATTTTTTTAGTATAAATGGCTTAGTTTCTAAACTTTTTTCTTTACCCATGCAGAATGGTGTGCCCTATTTGCCATTCGCATTGTGAGAGTGACAACGAGCAGAGATTTGGCATTGTCATTCGCGAGGGCTCCAAAGCAGCAACAGTAATTCCTTGTTTTATTGATTTTTCTTTCCTCACAAATGTTTTTTCATCCTTTTTATATGTGTAAGATTTTTTGCTAATTGTTTCACAAGATGCCAGGCCCGAACTGGCATATATGTGTTTCCTTGGAAGTAGGCTTGCAGCAGATCTTGGTTCGATAGGATAGGACATGGCTAGAGTTGGGGGTGAAGAAGATGAAGGAAGTATGCCCTAGATTCAATAATAAAGTTGTTATTTATATTTCCTTATATCATGATAAATGTTTATTATTCATGCTAGAATTGTATTAACGGGAAACTTGATACATGTGTGAATACATAGACAAAATAAAGTGTCCCTAGTATGCCTCTACTTGACTAGCTCGTTAATCAAAGATGGTTAAGTTTCCTGACCATAGACATGTGTTGCCATTTGATGAACGGGATCACATCATTAGGAGAATGATGTGATGTACAAGACCCATCCATTAGCTTAGCATTATGATCGTTAAGTTTTATTGCTATTGCTCTCTTCATGACATATGCATATTCCTCTGACTATTAGATTATGCAACTCCCGAATACTGTAGGAACACCTTGTGTGCTATCAAACGTCAAAACATAACTGGGTGATTATAAAGATGATCTACAGGTGTCTTCAAAGGTGTTTGTTGGGTTGGCATAGATCGAGATTAGGATTTGTCACTCCAAGTATCAAAGAGGTATCTCTGGGCCCTCTCGGTAGTGCACATCACTATGAGCCTTGCAAGCAATGTGACTAATGAGTTAGTTATGGGATGATGCATTACGGAACGAGTAAAGGCATTTGCCGGTAGAGAGATTGAACTAGGTATGAGGATACCGGCGATCAAATCTCGGGCCAGTAACATACCGATGACAAAAGGAATAACATATGTCGTTATTGCAGTTTGACCGATAAAGATCTTCGTAGAATATGTACAAACCAATATGAGCATCCAGGTTCCGCTATTGGTTATTGACCATAGACGTGTCTGGGTCATGTCTACATAGTTCTCGAACTCATAGGGTCCGCATGCTTAACTTTCGAAGATGACTTGTATTATGAGTTATGTGTTTTGGTGGATCTAGGCAGCTGGAAGGCTCGGGGGCTGGAGTTGTATTGACTTCCCCACGAGGTGATAAATTTTCTCATGTTCTTCGGTTGATGTTCCCTTGTACTAAAAATCAAGCTGAGTACGAGGCCTTGCTCCATGATCTTCAGATGGCTAAGGAGATGAACTTGAGCCGGGTGAGGTGTTTCGGCGACTCAGATCTGGTAGCTCGGCAAGTTTCTGACACTTGGGACTCTAAGGATCCGCTCATGGCGGCTTATCTTTAAGAGGTTGATGCTATCGCAGGTCACTTCAAGGGTTATCTAGTTGAACATGTTGATTGCAGGAAAAATGAGGCGCCCGATGCTTTAAGACGGTTAGGGTCTCAGCGTAAGCCGGTGCCACCTAATACTTTCCTTGATATTCTGCATAACCTTTCTGTCAAATTGCCTATAGAAGAGGATCTTGCTATTCCTGACCCAAAATCACAATTGGTGGCGGCTCTTCATGCTATTCCTGACTGGACGGTTCCATATTTTCGCTTATATGACCCGGGGCGAGTTACCTGAGGATGAAACTTTGTCCAGGCAGATAACCCAGCGGTCTAAGTCAATGACCATTGTCAATGGAGAGTTGCATCATCGCAGTGTCATAGGGGCGTTTCAACGTTGTGTTTCTCCTGAAGATGGCTGTGAGATTTTACGAGAGATTCATGAAGGAGATTGTGGTCATCATGCCGGTTCTAAGTCTCTCGTAGCCACAACTTTCCATCATGGGTTTTATTGGCTGACGGCTCATGCTGATGCTGAGGATCTAGTCAGTAAATGTGATGATTGTTAGAAGTTTTCACGACGAGCTCATGTGCCGGCTCAAAATTTGAGGATGATTCTGATTGCTTGGCCATTTGCAGTCTGCGGGCTTGATATGGTTAGGCCTTTCAAAAGGTCCAAAGATAAAAAGACTCACCTATTGGTGGCGGTTGAAAAGTTTACAAAATGGGTTGAAGCAGAGCCAGTTGGCAAGTGTGACGCGGCAATGACGGTTCAATTTATCAGCAAGGTGATTTCTGTTTCGGCTTTCCCCATGGTATTATAACTGATAATGGAACTAATTTATCCAAGGGTGCTATGAAAGAATTTTGTCAACGTGAGCATATTCGGCTTGACATATC